AATTCCTCTATAGTTCAGATTTGGACTAATCACTGCCAGGTTATAACCTCCATTCACATGCTATCTTTTTGCAACACAGAGAAATAGACAAATCAAACTGGATGTTTAATACTAAGTATTTGCCATTCATAATTCTTACTTTTTATGTATATAATCTGCACTGGTGAAGTGCTAAGAGGAAAATTAGTCCATCCTTTCCTTTATCAAGTATTTCTTTAAAAAGAATGTGGTTATGTAATATTTTCTTATCAGGATGGGAAGCAATTGCTTGAAATTTGACTTTTTAAATACAACGTTAAAGCCAGGAGGCCTTGAGAAACAAAGTTATAAAAATTGTTTTTTGTTCTCTTTTGTCGTGTAAGGGACATAAAGAATTAAAAGGCAGTAAATAATGAATGCAGCATTATTTACACAAGTAGACTAGGATCACTAGATGGCTATCACAGTTTTTTCAGATTATATAGTGTGTGTGTGTGTGTGTGTGTGTGTGTGTGTGTGTGTATACCTGGGATTAAACTTGGGTCCTTGCACTTGCAAGGCAGGCCACCAAACCACTGAGCTAAATCCCTGGCCCTCATAATATATATTTCGATACTGGTGATTGAACTTGGGACCTTATGCTTGCGAGGCAGGCGGAGGAACCACTGAGCTAAATCCCCCGCCCTACAAAGTACACATGTTTAAAAGAGAGGAGAATTTATTTGCCTAAGGAATTATCTTGAAGTTTATAAAGGAGACTGTAGGAAGAAGACTAGAAAATGAATACGGATTTCCAAGAATTGGCAGGAAGCCGAAACAGAATGATGTCCAGGAAAGAAATCTCTACAATTAGCATATATTTTTTCAAATACCATAAGAAAGTTCATGATGGATAAGTTCTGAGATTTGATTGCCATGTGACTGGACCCACAGGGAAGAACGAAAGAATGTGAAAGAATTATGATTAAGAGCTCAGGGGATAGAAATCCCTAATATGTGCCAATAAAATTCTCAATTTTTTCACCTCCTACACTGTACTGTGAAATGCAGTAATGTTATCATCTAATTCCATATGGTATTGGATGGACACAGATTAGAGGCAACAAAATTTCTGCCAGAAACAAGTTTTTTTTTTTTTTCCAAGAAAGGCATATGTTCATGATAGTGAACCTAACAAAAAGATAGGTAAAACCAAGAGTATCAAAGTGTCTGGAATCTTTACAAAATTATTTAAACATCTGTTTTTTAGGTATTTTCAATAGTTTCAGTTGTTAAGAAAACAGAAATCATCAGTGAAACCTAAGTTGAATAAAGAATTGCATTAGGAAGGAAATGTGGTTTTTAAAAAGGGATTGTAGCTTATTTTTGTACCAGAAACAAAAATAGAAATATCTATTGTATATGGTGAATCACAAGAATTCAAAGAAATACTGAAAAAAGGAAATCTTTTTTTTTTTGAGACAGGGCCTCACTGCATAGTTGAGCTGACCTGGAACTCACTATGTAGCCCAGGCTGGTCTCAAACTCACAGTGATCCTCTTGCCTCAGCTTCCCAAGGGCTGGGATTATAGGCATGCGCCACCACATCCAGCTAAGGAAATCTTGTATAACTGTAACATTACAGTCCTTTCTAGGTCCAGCCCTCCATTAAATAAATCGAATAAGTTGAAGATTCCAATGGACAACGTTTTTATTTCTTGCCTCCTGATAATGAATTTTAAAAGCTTTAAACTATTCAATAATTTCATTCGTACAGGAAAATTTCACTGACCATCTGCATACCATGGCGCTGTATTTGGTACTGATGTAAGAGAAATCAAAAACATAGTCTCAGCCCTCAGTTTATCATCTAGCTGAATCAGACAATAAAGTTTTTAATTGAATAAGGATTTACAGCGTGCAAAAGCATGGGTATAGTAGTCAGTTTATTTCCAAGGGTAAATAGGGAAGGGCTACTTTAAGGTGATAAAGAAAGTCCTCTCTCAGGAAGGTAATGAGCTGCCATGAACTCCAGGGAACCCAATAAAAGCTTGTGAGTCCCATTATAGGACAAGAGAGAGCAATACAAGTCCTTGAGATGATTAATAATTTAGTATATACAAATAATTAATGATGATAGAAAAGAGTATTTATTAAGTACTTGTTATATACACTACTTTTTTATGTTTTATCCTTTTTATTGAAGTAACAAGGGACAGTAGACACCGATAGGATATGTTTGTAAACAGGGAGGTGAGGAGGGGTGAAGGGAGGGCAGGGACAAGGGGAAAAAATGAGAACCAAGACCTGTCATGTAGAGGTACAAGATCCCAGTAATGAATGCAACTGTACTGTCTACCTAAAATGTACCAATAAACTCAATTAAAAAAATTAATGTGCTCCATAATCTCTTGAACTGAAGAATAGTGTGAAAGTAGGTAGTGAATAAAAAATGCTTTTTTAGAAAAAATTAAAGTTACGTTCAAATCACTGAATTTAAAAAATTTTACAAAATGGCTCAGTAGGATTAATCTGAGAGAAAGACATAGCCATACACCCAAGATCATACTTCTTGACCCGCCGAGTTTGTGAAAAGTAGCTTCAAGCTTATTTGCCAGGAGATTTGTGAAAACAAAATTATTTCAGGAAGCAGTGTTGCTTTCCTCACATAAGTCCTGCATTTGTGTTCTCCAAGCCTGTCCAGAAAAGACTGATTGTAGGTTAAACGGAGCTGAGTTTAGGTTTAGGGAAAAAAAAAATTATCAAGATGGTAGTCAGATAAGTGGGCAGCATGAAACAGGATGTCTTAGAGTGACAAAGACTTGATAATGGAAAGTTAATAGATCTAAGACTAGAAAAGTATTGACCCAGTAGCATGTAGGTGAAGGAAAAATAATACTATAGATTATCTGTGGAATGTGGAAATGTGATGAATAGATTGGAGAGGGCTCACAAATGACTAGTCAGTCATTTTTTACCTTGATTGACTATTTAGGAGATGACTAAGTATGATGGTAAATTCACTGTAGTAAAACATGAAATTAAGTTTGCAGGTTGATACTCATAATTAGAGTTTGGAAAAAGCGTGAAAGCCAACACATGGATTTAGAAGTCCTCACTGAAATATTTAAAGCCAAAAAACTAGATGTTTACAGAGTGAGAAAGTAGAGAGAAAGCTGCTGTTGGAATTACACTCTCATTACTAAATCACGGCTGTTCTTAGCATTGATCCCACTTAATTTTTCATTCAATCATTTTATGTCAGCCGAAGTGTACTGAGTGTTCTCAGCTCCTCCGGGTCTCCATCTGTGCCGCCTTTACACACCTCCTGGCTCCCCCTCTCCGCACACAGTTTCCATCGGCACTGACTCCTGAGCCTCTCCCTGCTGCTGTGAAGTCATTTCTACTCTCTTGGTCCAAATATGAACAAATCTGTGATCTGTTCACTTTTACTGGAACTAAATCTGACATTAAACATAAGGAATAAAATTGATAAAAATAAAGATGAGACAAAAACATATAAAGGTATGATTTATCATAATCCTAGTTATCTAGAAGAATAGAATGATAAAGAGGGAAAGTGATCCTTGGTCTGTCTAGAAGATTGCAGGCCAATTAACAGTGGTCACCCACCAAAATCTCTGGAAAAAAAAGATTGCTCGTTTCTACACAATGCTGCAGCAATCTTGCTGCTTTATTCCCTTATCTGAAAAATTGTGTGGCTTCAGAGGTAAACAGAAGAGTTCAAACTAAGGTGATAGAAAACTAGAGACTTCTGGATGTTTACAGGTCTGGATTGGTCTTTCGAAACTGCTAGGACAAATCATCATAGGTAGGGTGGCTTATAACACATTTGTTTCTCACAGTTCTGAAGGCTGAGAAGTCCAAGATCAAGGTTTGGATCATCAAATATATGTGAGGAAGCACTTTCGGGTTCACAGCGGCACATAATGGAGCGGGTTGGGTGTCTATGGACTCTCCCTCCATGACCTAGTCAACTCCACTGCCCAGAAAGGCCACTGTCTGGCATTGTCACCTTTACAGTTAGGGTGGAAACAGATAGAAATCCTATAATGCAGATATTGAAGAGCACAGCATTCACCTACTTGCCTATTTTCTTGTCTTCACAAGTGAAAAGGTTTAAAAGCAAACCTTCGAAGTGTTATAAAACATTATGTGACTTTAGTTGCTTTTTACATTTCATTAAATTACTTTTATTGTGTTTCTTTTACTGTGTCACCTCTTTTATAAAGAATGGAAATATTTATTTATGAAAACATTTGTCTTAACTCCTCAGTGCTTCAGTTAAGAAAAGTTGTTCGTGAAAATTAGAAGCATATATTTTTCACTAAATGTATTGGTACATTTTAGGTATGCAATATGATGTCATTCATTATTGGTAATTTGTACCTTTACATGGAATTTCTTGGTTCTTATTTTTCCCCATCCCCCTGTCCCCGCTTCAAACCCTCCACCCCTTCCTATAAAGAATTAAAAGCATTATACCACAGTGATGTATGCATACCTAAGTTTATAATGGCACAGTTTGTAATAGGTAAAGCTTGGAAACAACCCAGTTACCCTTCAGCTGGAGACTGGACAAAGAACCTATGGTTTCTTTTATAAAATGGAGTACTACTCAGCCATAAAGAATGAGAAACTAGAAACATTTATAGCTAATTGGATGCACATTGGGGCCATACTCATAGTGAAATAAATAGTACAGGTGTAAATACTCTCTTTCTCTGGTGTGGGAAACTAAGAGTATACATAAGGGTCAAAATGTATAACTGATAATGTGAAATAGGAAGAAAAAGTCTAAAGGGCAAGGGGAAGTGGGAGGGGAAGGGGAAGGAAAGAAGGGAAAGGAAGGAATATGGGAAACATATTTAAGGATACAATTTTAGGTGAAGAAATTACACATTTACATGTAATTGTACATTGAAAATACCTTTTAACGTATATGGTAAGCAAATTTGTCTCGGCAAAAATGCATAAAATAGAGGATGCTTACAAATCTTTCTACCTCAAATTTCTAACAGAAAGAACGAGAGAGGGGTTCAAATTTAGCTTTTATGTTTCGACTGCCTTTTGCGGCTGGAAGAGTGTTTAGCATCAGTATGTTGGACACACTTCTATACCAGGTAGGTGATATTTATTTTTCTCTTAAAATGGTTATTTTGTATTTCATTTGATAAATAAGAAATATACTTAAGCTGTTGATTTGACTCGAAGTAATTTAGTATTTCATATTTAATGACAAAAATGCTCCTATGAAATAATTCTATAAAATATAATTTTAAAGTCATTTATAGATATTATTTTAGGCATTTGTTGATCTCAGTGCCCTATGATGGCTTTTGTGACATTCTAATACATTTTTGTATTATTCTAAGAAATGACTGTTTTTTAAAAAAATAAAAATAATAATTATGTTAAAAATAAAAAAAACATTCCTCCTAGTATACAATTTTTCTGGATTTGAAATAATTTACCAAATGTCAATACGGTGATACACTAAGGGCCTTTTGGTATCTCATAATTATTGTTTAATTTAGTAAAATATAAAAAACATTTTTACAACAAGAATAAACCATTAAGTTTTTTCCCGAGTGCCAAGTTAACATTATCATAACTAAAAGGTTCATGGAGATGCTGTTTCACGCAAACATAATCTTTTATTGGTTTCTGCCAGTAACTGAAGAGCAGTAATATTTCATACTGTCTGATTAAAGTAATCAGACAATCTCTAAATATTTCCATTAAAATGAAAGAGATCTTCAGAGGGATTTAAATCATTTTGTAACAGTAATCTCAAATTAAGCACTTCAGCATTTTATTGCTTCTACTCTTTCTCAGTTTATATTTATACTCTTCTACAACTGCTTGACTGAATAAACTAATCCAAAGACAGTTAAAGCTTTTCTGTGGGCCTCTGGGCTAATTTTGCCTACGAGGGAGCCCCTAGCAATGTCAGGAACCATCTGCTTATGCCAGATGAGAGCCGGAGCAAACACAACAGAGGAGAATAAACATTCCCATTTTCCCCGAAGTTTCCAGACACATTATCTGGACTCTCCGGGAGGCAGAACTCCAACCCCAGACATCATTACCATATACACACATGTTTCTAGTGTCTTAAAGCCGGAAAAGTGTTTTGCAGAATTGGAAAGATTTACTTCCGCTTCATATTTCCCCCATATGTCATCTTATAAATAGAGATACAGGAACCTAGGTGCTTTGTAAGCTTCTACAGAAACAGTAACTGAGAACTATGGCTTTTAAAGGTTTTGAATAATCACAGAGTAAGCATTATATTTTTCATTTCAGTCTAATACATACTTGCATGTTTGTATGTGCATATAACTAAGAAAAAACTCAATATGAAATGCTTATGTTTTTCCATATTATTTTATCTTAACGAAGTGTAATTGGTTTCACTGAAAAATTTGCTGGCCGTAACTTATGACTTCATTGTATGACTTGTTTAAAAGACGACAATTAAACAGAGATTTAAGATTTAGTAAAATCTAGAAAATAATTTCTATTCAGGGAGTTTGAGAGATCATTAATGGCTCTTGTACTATTGAGAGTGATTTTAACTCATACTTTCATTAATTTCATACTAATATGCAGTCTGTGTCTATTATAAAGACTGTGCTTATAGCTTTCAAATTTTCAAGTAGGTAAGACAATCTGTCATTCCAAGCTAATGTGATGATTGAAGTTTAAAAGGCTCCAGTTCAGCAACCAGTGGCTTGGAAAAAGAATATATGTTATAATTAATGATAAACATAGTTGAGATGTTTACTTTGCTAGCATAGAACTTAATTCTAAGAAAAAATTTCTTTGTACATGTAGTTTAATTATTTTACAATACTCATTTGAGTTTTTAGTTTTTGTCATGAAAATGCATAAAGTATTTTATCACGATTAAAATACATTTCAAATTTAAGTATTTTGAGATATTTCTAAGTATCTAGATTTCCTTATGAATAACGTAACCATACATGTTTAAGATATTGACAAGATGGATTTTCATTGCCCTCCTTATGGGAACTTAAAGACGTGTTAGTAGTAGAAGTCATCTCTTAAAAACTTAGGTGTTCACATTCATAGCTATTTTATATATTTCGTATGTATACTGTATCCATGTTTTGCTTATATTACAGTCTTTTGTGAAGGATTATATGATTTCTATCACCAGACTTCTGTTGGGACTGGACACAATACCAGGATCGGGGTTTCTTTGTTCTGTAAGTTAATAATCTCTGAGTAGAAGATTGTTCTGAGAGAAAGTTCTGAAAGCTTATCTACCACATGCTTTGAGTGATACTTCTAGAATCGCACGTTACTCTTTCTAATGCTTGGCCAACTAATTACATCTGAGACTTTACAATTGAATTAACACATTTTCAAGGATAATATAATTTTAAAATCAATACTAGAAATAGAAAATAGTCATCTTGCATAAAATGCAAAAAAAGTGTTCCTTTTTCTAGTTAGCAGTTTGAAACAGAGGTTTAGACTTAAAGTGATACACTCTCCAGGAAAACATTGCTGTCAGAGTTTAAAGCACTTGGTATGTGTTTTTCTGAGATGAACCATTGTTAGGTGTCCCAGGGTGGCCTTTTACTCCTGGGCTGAGTCCTTGCTGACACACCATCCTGAGTTCCTGGCACTACAGGCTTGACCCCTTTGTACAAGAGTACACCATATCCGAGTGGGTTGAATGATTTACTAACAGTGATACAAATAGCATTGAATTCACATTTTCTGTGTTCATTCTTCTGCACCTCTCTTTCGATATGACTGCTATTAGAAAATTAGGTGGCACATTTTTTTGGTATTGGAGTGTCTTCGGTGCCCTTTACTGTTTAGCAACCACCAAACTCTGTCCACTAAATACCACTAGCAGCCTCGAGTTATTATAACATTTATAAATGTCTTCATATGTTTTAAAACACCTGCTAGTTAATTACTAGCATCCTATCATCTACCGATTTGGACTTACATAATTTCATATTGCTCAAAATTGAATATTTAAATGTTTTGAATATTGATGAACTCCCAGGATAATTTGAGGCAGAATACAGTTAACAAATTTAATATATACATAAGCACTTATACTTGAAATTTCAAAATATTAGTAAATCGTGCCTGTAAGAAGTGAAAAATAACCAGTTTCTATTTCTTAAATGTTTATATTGCAAATAATTCTTATGTATTATAGATGAAAATCACTGAGGATGACTTATGGATCAGAACTTATGCCAGACTTTATCAGAAGCTGTGTTCTTCTACTGGAGATGTTCCCATTGGAATCTACAGAACTGAGTGTCAGAAACTTACTACGTCTGAGGTTTGGAAATATCTAAGTATTCCTGTTTGGGGATTTACTCTTCTAAACTTGGGAACTGATTTCTGAAAGATTCCATAGAAAGTGAAAGGTACTGCTCTCTAAATACACAGTGATAATTTTCAAAAACTGAAAACTTTTCTCAACTGTCCACTAAACTATTAAAATATCATTGGTTAAAGGACTTCAATAGATGCCACCTGCCTTGCAACTGCAAGGTCCCGAATTCAATCCCTAGTACCCAGCAAAAGAAGGGGTTCAGCAGAGCTAGTGGACAGTGGTCTGTGGAAGGTTTTGTAGATTTATGTTTAGCCGTGTTTAGAATATTGTTGAGAATCAAGTGTATTCTAAATAATCTTGAGATTCTAGTATATAAGGACAATTCTCAAGCAACTTAGACTTCGAATACATTCTCCAATTATATGTGTATTTGAAAGGAAGTGAAACACAGGAATTTCTAATATGGAAATACATAATTCTCAATCTCTATATTAATGACAACTCCAAAGCCAAAAGAAAATGCTAGAGTAGTGCCTAACCTTCCAGAAGAACTCCCAGTAATTTTAATAGCAAATTAGAGCAATGAATATACACAAATTTGCAATGGTAGCAGTTAACTCATATCCATGTTTTGATTTGATCACATCATGTGCTGTATAGTTTTTATACCCTTAATATAACATCACCTTAAAAATTAGATTATTTTGTGATAAATACAGCATGTTAACAACACTTATAATATTATTTGATTTAAATTACAAGGTATATTTCTGAGTTATTTTTCTTTTCAAGATACCACATTTATTGTGAATCACAAATTTTAGTTAACCATTATATTATTGCTGTCTTAGGCAAAATTACTTGGACCATGAAGCTCAAGTCAAGCATGCCCTTCAGGAGTACATGTAATTCTTTAACCATTTTGTGGCAAAATTCAACAAAGTTGCGCATAGAATAAAAGAGCTTTATAGAAAATATAAAGGTAATAGGGTTGATTTTTATATCCTTGTTAAAATTTATAGTTTGCCATTTATACAGGTGGATATTGGGGCCAGCAGGAAATAATTTAATTTTTCTAAGGAGTTTTGTGGTGGTTTCATTGCACCTTCTGTGATGCTAAGTGATGTTTGATGCCATCTCGCTTGCTGAGTTCAAGATTTTCCCTGTAGTTCACACTACAAAGAGCCGTCCTGTCAGAGAAAAATCAGGAATGACTGACTACGGAGCAATACCTGATATCGAAATGTGTGAGGTGGTTTGCCAGATATGCCTGAACTTTTAAGAATATTGGATTCCACCATAATTTGATTTTACTTCAGGAGGAGACAAGCGCTTTTACAACTAAGCAATTAAGCATTACCTCGATCTGTTAGAGCTTCTGTAATAAAATGATGTAGACTCAGTGACTTATGAAGATAAGAAATTTAATTGTTACAGTTCTAGGGGTTGGGAAATACAATACCAAGGACCCAGCTGAGCATGTGTCTTGTGAGGTCTGTTGCTTCCTAGAATGTCTTCCTATCACTGCATCTCACTTGAGGAGGAGCCAGGAGGGGGTGTTTCTACAAGATAACCTCTTATCCTAATCACCTTCCAAAAGCCCCACATCCAAATACCATTACTTTTGTTTTTGTTGTTGAAGACACAAACTTTCAGTTTATAACAACCCACTTTTTATTTGTCAATGATGAGCACAAAGATTTCCGTACAGTTTTGTTGTATTTTTATATATAGTTTTACTGAATTTCAATATAGTGAATTCTGCTCTTGATCACATCAATATTCATATCAGTAGTTCATTATTATTTAAATAACTATTATGCCTGTAGAAATTTTAGACATCAGATAATCAAAAATCTACATTGTAACCCAGGAGTATTTGACTTTACATTTAAATTTACATTTTTTTTCCCTGCCTATCATAGTAAATATCTTCCCAGTAAAATGCCCATAGTTTCCCAAACCTCAAGCTTATAAAAAACACACACACATGATTGGGAAACTAAAAGGAATCTGAGATTTTCTGTATTTGATTCCTATTTTTCTGTATTTAATTAATCATTTGACAAGCATATTCTTAAAATTTTATATCTTGGCTATTTTAGAAAATAAGCAACAAACAAACATGAAAATGTAGGATCATCTAACATGTTTTCCAGCAGAATATAAAGTCAGGGAAATTAATATAACTCTGTGTTTAACATTCACTAACTGGAACAGTTCAGCCTGAATTCTAATCTTATGCTCCTGTCACATAAAACAAAAATAACAATATGTTGAGTTATATGGTAACTATTGTCTAATAGATGAAAGAACATAAGTTTGTCCTGCAAAAACATTTATTCTTCCTTCCACTTATTAATTGATAAGCATAAGAGGCTTTTAGTTATGATGAGCAGTATCTACCATCAATTATAGTTTCACGAGATGCAAAAGTATTATTAAAATGATTTTCCCTTAGGTAAATATTCTATTTTTAAAACAGCAACAAAAAACATACAGAAGAAAATGGAACATCAATTTATTTTTAACTCACTGAAGACACTGTGAAGATAGAAACATTCTATTCTTTCTGATTGTTTAAAAATAGAGTAAGACAAGGTTTAGCTCAGTGACACTGCACCTGTCTTACAAGTCCAAGATCCTGAGTTTGATCTCCCGTAGCAAAAAGAAAAGAAAAGAAAAAAAAAAAAAGAGTCCTTAGTGGAGAGCCAGTGAAATGACAGTCAGCTCATATATCCTATCATCTTTCTTAAACATCAGGTAGTTTTGAAATTCAAAGAAGTTACCATTGTCTCAATGCCGATTTTACCTTGCTTTAATTGAAGACAAACATTTAGTAGGTGGAAACTTCCTTCTTTAATTAGAATTGAGAAGTCAAATATATTTTTGCTTAGGTATCTGTCAGATCCTTTTTGTCCCATGTAGTTCAAAAGCTGTTTACTGTCTTTTTAATATTGAAAGTTTATTCCAGAGGTAGTGTATGGACTAGGGGACATAGGACACGGTTGAGAGATAAAAGTACAATGCTGAATTCTAGGTACTAAAGGAAAAGATATATTCTGTACACTTTATTTTTCAGCTGCAAATTGGAAGTCTTCCCTAGAAAAAACTCTGCCCAAGCCAAGTAGAAAGGCCTAAAAATAAACATGGGAGATATTAAAACCCCAAACTTCTAATTTTCTAATCCAGTCAGTCTAATACATAGTCTAATTTATAAAAACATATACGTTCATCCTATAAATTTTTTTAACTGATCATTTATTAAAAATGAGTATAAGAAATTTTACGATCTTGTAATCCCCATAAATATACAATAGAGACCTCTCTCAAAAGTCCCAGTTTATTAGTTTCATATCTTAAGTATGAAAACAATTAACAATTTCCTATCATCTCATGAAAGCTTCTGATATGAAAGGCAGACTCCAAAATAAAACATCAGGAAAAAAAAAATACTTGTAGGAAAGATAGATTGCTGAGAGAGAAGAAATTTAAAAACACAAAATAAACATGCACTCCTAGCTATTTACCCCAAAGAAATGTATGCATATATTTATACTAGTATCATTACTAGTAATAGCTCAAAATTGAAAAAAACCCTAATGTCCTTTAACTTGTGAATAAAACTGTGACAAAAATGTGATCATTCTTATAAAGGAGCGCTATTTGGGAACAGAAATAAACTGCTTATACGTGCTGTAACTTGGATGAATCTTAAAAACATTATACTAAATTAAAGACACAAGAGACCTATATTATACGATTTTATTCATATGAAATGCCCATAAAAAGCACCTCTGTCGAGATCAGTAGGAAATTAGTGGTTGTGTAAAGTAGAGGGTAGTTGGAATGGAGATTAAATTGATGATTACGTGAGAATTAACTGGCTGAGTAGAGTGATCTCAAACTGACTTACAGTGATGGTTTGCACAATTTGTTAGGTTGACTAAAATAACTTTGAGTCTATGGCCATACCACCCTGAAGGCGCCTGATCTCATCCAAAATAACTTTGAATTTAACACTTGGGATAGGTGAATTACATAGCATGTGAAATGTGTATCAGTCAAGTTATGTAACGTAAAGCTATAATTAATATGATAGAAGATCTGAGATAGTAGAAGAATGAAAAAATAGCAGGAAAATGTGTCTTAACAAAACATTAATAGAAGGGCTGGGGTTTTAGCTCAGTGTCTCCCAAGTGCAAGGTCCTGAGTTCATTCCCAGGTACTGGGAAAAAAAAAATCGAAGTAATCTGATATTAAACACGTAATAACAGAAGTGAAAGAGCTTCTTACATAAAGCTGAGAAAATTGCGGATTAAGTAGTGCAAGCACTCAAAACAGAAAATAGTGAAATCATATAAGTGACTTACAGGGTCTAAAATCTGAATCGTAACATTTCCAGAAAGAGGAAATGAAACAAAATTGTAATAATTCCAGAATAGAAGCACATCAATTTCTGTCTTATGTACCTCCTTGTCACTGGAACAAAATGCCTGAGACCCGTAATTTGAAGGAGGAGAGCTTTACTTTGGCTCACAGTTTGTGGAGGTTTCCGTCCACTGTCAGCTGGTTCCAAGGGAGGAGAGCATGGCAGAGGGGCATGGCCGATGGGAAGATGGCGGAGGGGCAGGTGAAAGAGTGAAGGGAGGAGAGGGAGGGAGGAAAACCCTTCTAGGCTCTTCCCCCAGTGGCCCACCTCCTAAGAGCAGGTCACCTGTAAACTCTATAATCCAAATACTTTTCACAAACCATTTCTATGCTGCTTTTCATAAACTGTGCCTAATGAGGCTTTGGAGAGGACATGTAGATATCAGCCATAACTGCTTGCAAATGGAAACACCACCAAGTGCCTCTAACAATAAATTAAAATAGACTCCTATAGAGGCATAGTGTCATCAAATTTCGGATCCTTGAAGAAATGGAGAAGATTCTAAAAGCTTCCAGAGAAATGAGGCTGAGACTGCAGATACAGGTCACATTCAAAGCTAGTGCCTGGGCTTTTAAACAGCGATACTGCAAGCCAAAAGAAAATGGAGAAATATCCTTCAGATTTGGAGGGAAGAGTCTGAGGCAAGACTCCATGCTCAGCCAAAGCTATCAAAGTTGTGTAGAAAAAAATCATCTTTCAAATATGAATAGTCTCTAGAATAATTGATAGATAGCCCCCCCCAACCCACCCAAACACAGAATAAAGTGGGAGTGCATGCAGTGGATGGAAAATCGGTGTGGAGGAATCAGGGTCCAGTCATATAGAAATATGCTATTGTATGTTTTCATGTAAAGAAAGTTGTAAACCATTAGATTCTCTGGGTTTGAAAGACAAGATAAAGGAAGCATAAGGACCCATGTTCCTTGTAGGAGACAAAGAAGAGCTGTATTTTCCTCCACAAATCTTTACTCACCGTTCTTAAAGCCAAAACTAAAACGTTGCCGAGTTCATTTGGTATTAAAACTTGATGCGAGCTGTATGAGATTATTTGTGTTTACGTATTCAATTTGTAGAGAACATTTATACTCTTCATCGCAGCAACATTAATGTTTTTATTCTAAAATACCTCCAGTCCACACTGGGGGGATTATGTACCATACAGATTAACGTGTAATATTATCTTTTGAAAATCAGAAAAATTCTGAATAAATAAATAAATATATACACTTCTGTTTTTTAATGAAAAAGTAAAATTTCATTTACTTCCTGTTTTTCAGTGTACTGAAAATTTCATTTGCTTGAAATATGCTACAGTCCATGAAAATTTTACTAGAGAAAAAAGTCATTTGTAAAGCACATTAAACTACTAACATTTTAATAATGGAAAACATTATCCTGATTACTGGTCACCTTTTTAGTCAATAGATTTTGTAGCTTTTAAAAATGCACATTGTAGAATAATAACTGATTTTGCCATCTCTCTACCAAAAAAGAGAAAGTAACATTTTAGACATATTATTAAAATAATTTCACACATTTATAAAATCTCATTAATACATTTATTAATTTAATAAATCTCATTAATAAATTTGTAAGGATTAAGATAAAATATTTTCAAAAATTCTAGCTGATTGTTTTCTGAAAAATTTATTCCACAATGCTACATTGTTGGGAAATCTGGGCTAAATGTCTCCAAGTTGCCCCAAATCAAAAGTTTATTAGGCATTTCTTGTATTTTTAGGAATACTTATAATCAGTTTTGTTTTATGCTTTTAGCAGTACCAGATATTATGATAGAGTTGAGTTACATTACATCAGTATAATTTAACATTTTATTTATTTCCATTTTTAAATTAATATATATTTCTGAGAACAATGGAGTGAGATAGTATGATTTTTTTTGTTTTGTTTTGTTTTGTTTTTTGGTACCTGGGATTGAACTCGGGTCCTTGCGCTTGCAAGGCAGGCCACTGAACCGCTGAGCTAAATCCCTGGCCCGATAGTATGATTTTTATACTGCCTAAATACTGTATTATTATTGGGAAAAACAATTTTTAGATGCTACAACCACTGAGAAAATTCAGAATAGTTTTTCAACTTCATTACCTTTATATGTAAGAGCAAACATCAGTATTAGTAGTATATCAGAAAGTAAAGGTACCGGTACAGATAGCAGTACCAGTACTGATTGACTACAGGTAATTATGTCAAATATTTCTTTATGAATGTAGTAGTTTCATAAGCTGTGAGTTATTTTATTATCTTCTACTAGCATTTTTTCTATCAAAACTTGCAATGATTTTTCATGCAAAAAAAAATCTGAAAATAGCAAATCTTTGGTAAATGTTATATCCAGTAGCTTATTTTTTTGCTCAAAATCTCAATAATAAATAAACACATTAGAGTCAAAGTGTAAGGTAGGTACATGTCGAATTTTGTCCTTGTTGCTGATTGTCTCATGTATGCCTTATTTAGTCATTGTTTAAATGGTATTTTGTGTGTTTCTTTTTCCCCTTCCCTTTGTGTCAGTCTCGAGAAATAGCATCACAAGTAAGTACTTTCTGTTTGTCTCCCTTATTTCAGATGGTGTATTTTTAGAATTAAAACTATTAAAGGGACAGATCATTATGATTGAATTTATTATTTCATTTTTAAAAAGAAAATAAACAAAATAAATTATGCTAAAATGTTTATGCAGGATTTCTTTTTTATTAGTATATTTATATTTCCAAAAGGGATTACAAATTACTGTTATCATTTGTCTTCAAATTGTGTTTTTGTGTTAACCCACAGACTGTTACCATGTGAAACACATAAATTCTTTAGTAAGTGTAAAGTAACAGTGCATACTTAAAATTCAAAAACTTCAGTTATTTAATTTATTAACTTCATTATTTATGCTACAGGAATATCATATATCAAGCTTTGAAAATTTCAGCTCAAATATAAACTGAATTTAAGAATAATTGATGCTTCTGAAAAAATACTAAAACTGAAAAATGCAACCATATTAGTTGTTTTTCCTAATAAATGCTATTGCAAAATTTAAGGTGTACTCACATTTTAATATTTTTGTGCTAATTAGAGCTAATCACGAGAGATATTTCAAGATACTATTTTTGTTTTAAAGTGGTTTGAAAACTAGTTTTCTTTTGTCATTTAAATGCTTTAGTTTAAGTAGATTCTTCACCAACTATACCGCAAAACACACATATGTATGCTGGTGAGCATAAAGGCCTACAGACTCCAGGTTGATATATCTCAGTAGCTGTTGTATCTAACCGGAGTGTATTAAGAATAGTCTTAAGAATACTCAAGTAGTTAGAGAACTTATATCCACTCTTGGAAGAAACATAATGCATGTCTCTTAATTGTAGTTACCAGGATGTACACTAAATCTCCAGAATTCATTCATCTTATAAACTAAAGGTATACTTTTGACCAACGTTTCCCCATCTTCCTCCATCTCTTGACTCCTGCAAAGCACAATTCTAATCTTTCTCTATGAGTTCAAATATTTTGAGAAGAAAGACACATGTTCAAACCAGGATGACATTTTGCTCAGTGAAATAAGCCAAACATGGATAGCAGATATTATTACTATTTTTAAAAGAGCAAATTAAGACTTAGTTAAGTTACCTTGAGTAAGATGAAAAAAAGGGCCCCAGATTTAGAATTGATCATGTCCTAATACCAGAGTATCTGTTTTCAGTCACTAGGCTTCACCCCTAGGTTCCGGCCAACCCTCCCTTCTCTGTCATCAGTTTGGAAGACAACAAATGATCTTAGAATTAACATGGCCACTGATCCTTGCACTGTACATCTGTGTTTATAAAAGATGCGTTTAATTCTTACCTCCAATCACCTATTGATTGCTTCTTCCGATTTCAACAGTTTCTTCTTCTATGTTAATGGGTACAAATCTGTGTTTCAGCCCAAGTTCTTCTAAATCCTTAACATGGAGACAAACCTGTAATCTTTATTTTCAGATCCTATGTATCTTTCATCTATCAGAAACACAAATATTTTTTGAATAATATTAGGCACCAGATACACTCATTTAAGTGCCTGGAATGCAGCAGTAGACAAAAGATTTCTGATATGATTCCTATTCTTAGATTTATTGACCTCTGGGTGGATTAAATATGTCAAAAATTCTCCTCTCTACAATATCTTGCATAAAGCAACTAGACTGATGATTACTTTCCTTTCTTTATTCGTGTGATGAAGAATCTTTATGTTCCATGTATACTATTTCAAGTCAGACTCTTAAGTGTATTTTAAGCTATTCTGTGCCTTAGCTATTCTTTATCAGTACTTCTTTTCCTCTTCCTGGCACATATCATATACCTGGTGAGGTGATTATTCTGACCAGTGAGCCTTGCTTTGGAGACAAGATGCTCTGGGTTTAAATTTTTGCTTCTCATCTTACTAGCAGTGTGTGAATTTGATCAAGCAGTGTCAACCTGTAGCAGAGTGAAGACCAGGTAGTGAACGTTATCACTTCCCAAATGAGGGAAAAAGAAAAAAATGTGAAGTGAATTTTTACCAGTTAAAGGCACGTAATTCTGTGACAAAGTCCATAGAGTAACACAATTCTTATTTGGTTGTGTTTTGATCATTTCCGACTGGATGACGCTTTCTCCAAAATGTCTGTTTGAATTTATAAAGTCAGTATTCTTATATCTTAGATAGATATCTAGCTACATACTGCTCTAAGTTTATGTGTAATTTTGTCATACTTTATTTCTTAGGAAATTTGTTTTCTCTAATGTTTTTTCTCCTTACTTTATACTTATGTTTCTAATGTTTTCCTAGCTGTAACGATTTTAATTGTGTTCATTTCCAATGCAAGGAAAAGCTTTCCTACTTTTATTTATTTTAACTTAGCAAGAATCTCAATGACATATTAACAAGAGACAATTTAAAAGCACCCATCTGTATGTATTAGATTTAACTATGTAGGCAAGGATTTTTGCTCATTTAACCAACCTTCCAAGTAGGCAGATCATTCTTACCTTTGGCACTGCCATGGGAAGTAAATTAAGCTATTAAACACAGCTCCTGTCAAATGGGTGCTAGGATCCATCACATGAGAAATAAATGGAACATTATTTATTTATCTCTTCTGTTCATTTTAAAATTTTTATTGTTATAGTATTGGAAGTATATTATTCGCATACTATTTTATTAGTATATAATTACATTCATCATGGGGAGTTGATACATGTATTCACACTATAAAGTTTATCTTGTCACCTAGCACTTCCTCAGTGAGTGGTGATCCGTAGCAATTGTATACTTACATCAATAGTATAATTTTAGGTAGATTCTTCAAATAAGAATATAAATATTCAGAGCCTTGTATTATTGTGTCCATTCCTTAAAGCATCAAATTTAGTATAGAAATTTTCTTTCTACGGGCTTCTTTTCCATTGAGTCCCAAATGTTGGAAAGGATAAGGGGATTGTGTATGTGTGTGTGTGTCTGTGTGCCTGTATATAAAATTCTTGGATCATGGGATGGGAGGTATTATAGTCATGTTAGGATCGCTACATTACACTTGCAAAACTTTGCGTTTGGATCCCTTTGTCTGAACTGTAATGTGCTGGAAATGACATAGTGAAAAGCCCCCGTGCCTACTCCAGTGTGTAGGGTTTATCCATGAATGTGTACACACATAAATTCATGTTGAAGCTATTGATTCAGGCTATATATGTCTAATTCTAGAAAATAATAAAGGAAAATTATACTGGGTAGATAATGGTGCTGGCAATGAAATCCTGATTTTAATAATAGAATCCGTTTGACTATCTTTATGGATATGTTGCACTTTGTACAGTGCTGATGTATTCGTTGATTTTGTTTGTAATTTAATTTTGAACACTAAAGCTGTTCATGTGTGCAACTGTATTCTTTACATACATATACAAATATGATATGGTTGACAAACATAAACCTAAGCATGTATACCTTAAAAATTTTGGATAGAAAGAAAAATATATCCTTACCTATAGTGATTGTTAGACATAAATGAATCATTTGATTTGGGGACACCTCAGGGTATCATTATAGACCCCAAATCTTGGTTCAGGTAGAATTTAATGGTGATCTGTTAGACACATTTTAACTTCAATCACTGCAGTCAGTCTGAAATTATTAACTGGGTAAAACATTTCTTAAAACACAAAACAAAGCACCTATAAATGTACAGTAATAATAAGTTTTGCTGATGATATCATGTAAGTAACTTACTAGTTTAAGGAGAAAATAACTGTTCTACATTCAGAGATGATAAAAATTTTCTCTTCAATAAAAAAGACAGATCATCTGAATTCACAAGAAAGACAACTATAAAATATCATTGGCACAAGTAGAAATAAATGATATCAAACCCTGGTATAATCCAAATATTTTCATTAAATATTTAAAACATGTTTGAATAAGACAATTCAAAGAGTTAGAAATACTTTAGAACACTAAACCTTGAATATTAAAAATTGTTATGTACAAAATTCACTTTTTACCAGTAACCTGTGTAACGTACTGTTATAAATGGAAGGTGGCAGGTGATCTGTATCTAAAAGCTCCTGGCATATTGTTAGTGGCATAGATATTTGTAAGGGAAAGAAAACTATAGTGAGAACTGCTTGATAATGGCCATTATCCCTTCTGTCCAGTGAAAAATACTTTTTCCACAGCATTTCCATGATCATCAGTTCTTCTCTATATTTCTACTTCTTTTCTATTTATTGCTTCTAAACTGAGAATATTAGAGGTAAAAGTTGAACTTAAGTACTTACTTCTAAACTACGCCTACTGTTTCATGATTTGTGCAATGTGACTTTCCCAACAGCTCAGTGGACACCCACCAAATTCAGTTACAGGCTTCCTTCTCAACACAGAGTCATTCTTTCCACTCCACATCAATCTATATGAACTCTATCTTTGTACAATTTTATTTGTACCAACTACCAGTAACTTTGGCACTTAGCTAATTTAACGAACTTCATACTTGTGTAACTGTTTATGGACATATGCTTTATGTTGCTTCATAGTTCATAAGCTGCTAGGTGGATGAGTGCATAGAATTCGGAGGAGAATGGCTGTGAACACCCTACAGAGGCCATATAAATGGCTAATCCAAAAGTGGGTTTTCATGGTCCTCCTGGTGAAACCATCTATGCACCAAGAAGGCTAGATGAGACTTTTTGGAGCGATCATACCCAGAAATGATTTTGGAGAACAGAGAGGGTCTACAGATTTGGTCTTTATTGATGTTAGGTTTCGTATGTGCAGGGAGTTGGTAATTTTTCATATTCACACTGAGTATGAAAGAAATGAGCTCCTGGAATATCTCATTGAACTCGCCCAGATGTAGAGGTAGAAGGAATTTGAAAGCTGTCATCAACCAAACATCAAATATGGTGCCAGAATTTGTTATAATTAATTCCTGTTGTTTCACTGGTGACTTAACTATACCTAGCTTCAGTCCAAATTTGTTTAAATTGTGTAGTAATATATTAAAGCTTGCATCACGTGGTTGGTAGAGAGATGGAAGTACTTTGAGTACTTTGTCCATTAGCACAGTGCTGAATATGTTGAAGAAATGAAATACTCATTAGGGATAGCTTCTTAAGGGATGAAAAATAGAAGCTCCCTTACATAATCCATCCAATTCAGTGTTGGTACTGATTTCCATATACTGTTCACTTGATTGATCAAGAGGCTCCCTAAGGTGTCCAAGGAATTGATGATAAACTGGACTGTTCCATAAGTGTAGTATCGGACAAGAAGGCTTCCTGCAGGAGTAATACACCAAAGGGCTAGTTTCATTTTCTTTTTATCAAGGTGATTCTGCCAAACTTGCAGAGTGTTGTTTCTATGACCTAAAACACGATGGGTCATGAGGTGTATGCAAGTAGAACCATCCTTAAGGACTTAACTACAGACAAAAGGTATTTCAGTTCCATTTTGTTAAACTGAATGTCTGTACCCAAAATTTGATTTAATTTTTACTGGATCAGAATACCCATACCTATTATGAGATGTTTTAGAATAATGAGTGTTATGACAGTGAGAAATTTAGGCAAGTAATTGTGTGCTGGATAATCATGATGAGGCATATCTATCAGTCCTCTATATTTAAAAAGCACCCTCCCCACAAAAGTATATAAGGTAACTTAATTTTAGTGCAGTCTCAAACTTCAGGTACTTTTTTAAAAAGTTGGTGGGGATCTCCAATCAAAACGGTCATTTGAATCTCAACTTTATTCAGTATTCTGAAGGTTTGGCAATTAGTATACATCAGGAGACAATACAGCCAGTTATTGTCATGTCAACTTATATTGTAGAGATATAGATAGTCTGCTCCCTTTTATCATTTTATGTTATAGATTCTTTCAGCAAAATAAGAATTTCCAAGTGGGTCAACGACCCGACATTTTTTGTTTCCTGTTGTGTATTCATTTTCTTCTTGCTGTCTTTGCTGCAGATGCTATTTGCTGCTGTATATAGTTTGAGGCTTTTCTGTGTTCATAATTATAAACTTCCTCCTCTAGAGATTCTCAAATCAGTATCATCAGAATCATAGGCCTCCTGATAGCAGTGGTTGCTCTATTAGGTTTTAAGTACCCTGTGCTTAAATAGAGTCCAAATTAACACCTTGACTTTTACAGTTAGAAAACTGAAATGGTGCATTAATGAAGCTTACATCTTCCATAAATAAACTTTATTGTCATAAAATTATGGATAGAACTGAAAGATACCTAAGAGATCATATAGAGGAAATGCATTTTAATACAATGTAACTTGATATTTCCTATCTTAGTTTAGATTGTAAAACATATAAATATATAAAACAGCATTTTGAGAATTGTTGAAATATGTTTTGGTTAAGGTTTTATAATAAAAATATTTCAGTGCACATTTCAAGATATTCTGATCCAGTAAAAATTAAATTAAATTTTGGGTACTGACATTCAGTTTAACAAAATAGAACTGAAATTCCTTTTGACTGTAGTTAAGTCCTTAAGGATGATTCTACCTGTATACACCTTGTGACCCATCGTTTTAGGTCATAGAACACCCTACAAGTTTGGCAGAATCACCTTGATAAAATGAAAATGAAACTAGCCCTTTGCTATATTACTGTAGTCATGCTACATGTGCCTTTAAATTTAGACAATCTGTTTAATATTATTTATATGGTCTTGATAGATTACTATATTTTCAAATTGTTAGGAAATCAAATAATTACATATAGTTACTTATGACTATAGATAATGGCAAAGAGATTACTTTAAATAAAATTAAGGTTATAATTCTACAAACATGAGTGGACATGAATAAAATGAGTGAATTAATAGATTTTTATTTTTGCTAAAAGTACGCATAAATCACTGAACAAAGCTAGTTTTCTTCATCAGTAGTAGATATTGTTCAAGAGCTAATCCTCTACTTCCACAGAAAATTTTCAATAGATTATCAAATAGGTGAGAATAGAGTAACTTAAGATCTAGAAAGATATTATTGAAAAATCATGGTGTTTAAAATTTATTGTTTCTGTATTACGTTCAGATAGATAAAAATATAGTTTCAAACTTTTAAAATCAAATAATCTGTTACCATGGAGATAAGGAGATTAAATAAATTAGTATTGAAGTCCACCTAATACAATATTCTGCTACAACAGAAATAAAAATGAGTATTTGCTTGAATTTAGTGTGCAATAATCACCTAGCTTGTTCCTGAGAGTTGTACATAAGGTATTGACTAAGCCTCCATAATTTATATTCGCATTTGAAGGATTTTATTGGATCTACTCCCTGACCTTACATAAATTGGTAATTGCAATTCTGTTACTGTGAAAGCCAGCAATGCATGCATGTAACACCTGAAATTCAGGCTTCCATCCCTAGAAGGGAAGTGGTTAAGAAATTAATGATTATTGCCCTTAGGTATGAACTGTAGAACTCGGAAAGCTGTCTCTTTGCAGGTTCATGATTTTAGAAAGTAAGATTTTCTGCTCTGATAGGTGTTGCATTGCACGTGACTTGCTGGAAAGAACAATATTATTGAAACAATGAACATACTTGTAAAGAGCTTCTAATCAGAGGAGAGATTCTTGCGAAAATTAGATTCTGTAGCAAAATTTAGATTTTATGAGTTTGTTCATTGATTTGCCTCTCCTATGAAGAATAGCCTGGTTTAAGTTTTATTTGTGATTCTATAATTTGTTTTATAACACCTTTTAAATTAGAATAGTTCCTGAAATATGTTTTAATATCTTAATTTGAAAAGCATTTTATGTGGTATATTATGAATACATGAATTAAAGATACCTTTTTCCTTTCTTCTGGGATATATGAGAAAGTTTTCAAAAAAGTCACATTTTATAAAGTGCATTCCAGTGTCACATGTAGAAAGAGCAATAATATAAAACCTTTAAAATATCATTAATTCCAAAATTTTTTTCATAATAGGTGTTTAAATTGCACTACAAATATTTATATTTAGAAAAGAACAGCATGGATTCTATTTGAATGAAGTAAAAAATGTCTACTCTTTTTTCTGTTTCAAACACTCATACTAGTAAACATTTCTTTTTAATTGTTTAATTCTTACATATAAAAATTAAGTATTTTCATAAAACTTTTCAGGAAGATGTAAATTTTTGGTAGTGTTCTATTCGAATAGAAGATTATGATTTTGCTCTTTCTCCAGAAACTCCCGTGAGTAGATACACCACTATGATGAGAGTTTTGCAAATGAATTCTGTTTCAACTCTGAGCTATGACGGTTCCTAAAGTATCTAATTATTAATTTCTGTTCTCTTCCAAGTCTCAAATATCGATCAGTGTGGAAGAGTGGGAGGATACCAAAGAATCCAAAGAGCAAGGGCACCACCGCAGCAACCACCGCAACTCGACGTCCAGCGACCAGTCAGACCATCCCTTGCTTCGGAGAAAGAGCATGCAGTGGGCTCGAAGACTGAGCAGAAAAGGTCCAAAACACTCTGGTAAAACAGCTGAAAAAATAACCCAGCAGCGACTGAACCTCTACAGGAGGTCAGAAAGACAAGAGCTTGCTGAACTTGTGAAAAATAGAATGAAACACTTGGGTCTTTCTACAGTGGGATATGGTATGCTCTTTAAAACTACTGTATCTGTGGATTTGTGATTTCTTGCCATTGGTATTTATAGAGTTGGCTCTGATTTAGTAAAGAATTGCAATTTTTGGTTTCACAGGTCAATTTGTAGGGACTAATCACACATAACTAATCTCCTATGGAAAATGGAAATGACAGTAATGAAAATGAAATTCTAAAATGTTCACACGTGTATCGAGTAACTTGAGGCACCAAGGCACTATTCTAAAGTCATTACATGAATTATCCATCTCAATTTCTTTGATTTTCACAGAAATTCTGAACCAGAGTTTCTGTTCTCATTTTAGAGGTAAAGAAACAAAAGCAAATGACTTGCTATTTAGCTTGTTCATAGCAGAGGTCTTTCTAGGTCTACCAAGGTACAAAGACTCTTTAACACACACACACAGAGACACACAGATACACGCGCGCACACACACACACACACATGCACGCACGCACGCATACCACATAGGGCTTGATATGCAATGAATTTGAAGCAGAAGCAAACAGCTGTGATACCAGGCATAGATGAACCATAATATTCCTACAAATTGTGTTTGGTTTCTTATGGTAAAGAAAACAGAGTCCTTAAAGAGCTTCAATTTTGAAGCTCAAATAGTGCTTATTTCATATAGTATATCTTGTTGTAATTATTAAGTTCATATGTTGTAATTACCATATAGACTATACTGAAAATGTTCATAATTAATACAAAATAACTTTAAATATACCATTATCACTGTACAGATTTTATTTTAAAAGACATTTTATTAACTCATAGTAAAATCCAGTTACATTTATATGAAAGTATATATTATAGAAAAATCCAATTTTTATCTAGATAGATAGATAGATAGATAGATAGATAGATAGATATCTTGGTCTTGGGTAAATTAGGACATAAATTACTGTGTCATGTAATCATGTGGGTTTAGAATAAAATAGAATGCATTCTATATTTACTCTTACCTCATTATTTTTAAAGCCTTAACTTGAGATAAAGTTCATAGAGAGAAAATTTAATCATTAAATTGGAGCTTAAGAGAACTTATCTTTTTTCCTTGAACAAGGAAAAATTATATTTTAACACAGTACTTATACTTATGCCAGGAACCATACATATTTTCTCATTATACCTTATAACTGATTAGATAAAAGTATCCAATTTCATTCTTAAAGGGCTTTACTGTTAGAGGTTAAAGACCTTGGTCAGCAAATATGATTGAAACGTGTCAGTCAGAATTTCATATGTACTTAAAGTTTGTAATTATAAAAAGTTACTAAGATGTATAAGTGATTCTCCTGTGACTAGTAATTTTAATGTAACCACAGTAAATGTAATGCCTTCCATTAAGTAGTAAGTTTTTTAAATAATCCTCATTTTTGAAATTAACGAATGGCTATTTCCCAATTTAAAAACAAAAAGTTTGACTAAAACCTTTCATTTGTGTCTTAGTTATCACTAAGACACAAATGAAAAATTATAGTAAATGTTTACTCAACTATGTTCCAATTGTCTTTCAAAACATTTAACCCCATGATGATTCTATAAGCAATGTGGCAGATAAGTCTGACTCTTAGAGACATAAAAAATGCATGAACTGACTTTGTTGGGAGAATCATCAGAGAATTCTTATGTCTTTACATTTAGTTATCTGTATGATTCAGTTCTGTTATAATTTGTTAACGAGATACAATAATCTTTATAGAATGGGAAAAAAGATTCTGTCTATTTTCTCCCTGTTTCATTTTTTTCTTTCTAATTCTCTAATCTATCCATCTCTCTATATTATGCATCAGTCTACTCTACGACCATGCACTGAACACCTAATAATACAGTGGTTATGAAGACAGGATTTGAAATCTAATATAATCATGGGCTTCTAGTCTTTTTCATTGATTTCTAACTCCCAGTAACTTATTCATTGAACAGTTATTATTTGGCTATGCTTTTTGGTACAATGTCTAATCTGATGAAACCTCCACATTTATAAAACTCATATTCCAGGCCAATAGTAGGTTTAATTACTTAACCTCTTGGAATCTGTCTTTTTATCTATGAAATGGAAATATTAGGGTTTTATGATTGATTTGTTAAAAATGACAAATGAAATACTGAAAACAAAATGCTTATCCCATATCTGGCAACCACTAAATAACATAGATACCCCAAAGATTTTTTTTTTTGCATACTGTTGTATGTCTTATGTTATACACTAAAAAAGTAACGGTTTTGACTCACTTAAAACATTAAGAGTTTCTTCTTTGGTTGGCTTTGAGTTAACCATGATTCATCATGTGACTTATTCTGAGGAGTTCTAGCTGCTCCGAGAGCATTAAATAGATTACTTCCACTCTCTTGATAAGGGATATAAAGGAGAGAGAAAGAAAAGAATCAAAAGATGACACTCGAGGGCTCTGATTTTAGCAAGTGGGTATATGATGGTGACATTGACAGGGACAAAAACTTTGGGGTAAAGATAATGCATTTAATCTGAGTGCACAGAAGATTTCTAAACGGTGATTTTTTGTAAGGATCTGGATATTTTCCCACTTAATGTTCAATAAAAAGGGAGGACAGGGCCATGGGGAAAAAAGAACCAAGTTAGATTATATTAAGGTGCAAATTTCCAATGATGAACATCGTTATATTGTATACCTAAAGTATACCAATAAAATTAATTTCTAAAATGAGGTGCATGCTTATAGTCAGGTCTTTAGTCACCAGCATATAGATTTTAATTAAAGAAGTAAATGAAATAATTGCCACATGAGTGATTGTAGGGAAATCTCAAAGTCATATTTCTGTTAAATGAACAAACAAACAAACAAACGAGAGCTAAAGTGTCTAGAGCTGAGTTACCCAAAATATATGCCATAGCACGATATACAGAAAACTCACTACATATTTTATTATGGCATTGAGTGTTTTGTGCCTTGAGAAGAGCAAGCGGGGTCTGGATTGTTCAGAAACAGCTCTTAGACTGATTATATTTAGGTATAAGTAGTTTTGTGTATTGTTCAAAATACTGTACAGATATTATGTCCCATGTCTTCAAAGACCAAGAAAATGTAGTATTGGCCTACAGAAATTGAAACACTAGAGAAATAAGAGAGACTGCTTCATTGTGCGAAATCATACTGAAAGTATCATGATATGTCATTGGTGACTTTGATAAAGACAGTAGCACTGGTGTGTGTGAAATCCAGGTTTCGGTATGTTGAAGAGTGATATTAGGTAAGAATTTAAATGTACTAGATTTAAATGTTTATAAAAATTAGTATTGACTATAAAGATCAGAAAAACTAAAAGCTATTACAACTTAAATACGGGTGAAGATTTTATTTCTTTTGTAGATCAAACTATCTGAGATAATTCAGGAACAGTGGGAACTAAAAGTATTGAGAATTAAGTTTTCTGTCTTGTTATTCCATCATACTTCCTTTGTCAAAGCCATATCATGGTACAAAAATGGATGCTGAATCTCTATTTTGTCCACATTCCACCCAAAAGGAAGGAAGAAAAGAACCTTCCCTTCAATCAAAATACATTACCAAATAGAGGTAGTTTTAGTATAGCTCCTTTGCAAATGTGACCATTCGTCTTGCTATGCTGCCTTGATTGAATTAAGAAATATCTAGGAAATTAGTAAAGCACACCTTTGGTGCATCTGAGTGAGTCCTGCAGGCATGAACCTGGGTACTGCCTGGGATCCCCGGCTCCTTTCCCTGCTCTGTTTCCTGTTTGTCATGAATTAAGCAGCTTTGCTGTGCCGTGCCTTCCAGCACAATGTTCTGGACTCGGGCTGGCTGACTATGCGTTAAAACCTCTAAATGTGAGCCAAGTTAAACTCTTCTCCTTGAGTTGCAGCTGGCGGATAGCGTGTGCAAGTGATAAAAAACTAATGCAGCAAGAATTTATGTTTTATGGTTAGTGGTGCAAATCTATGTGAAGGAGGATAAGAATAATGGATATCAATGCGTTAAAACCTCTAAATGTGAGCCAAGTTAAACTCTTCTCCTTGAGTTGCAGCTGGCGGATAGTGTGTGCAAGTGATAAAAAAACTAATGCAGCAAGAATTTATGTTTTATGGTTAGTGGTGCAAATCTATATGAAGGAGGATAAGAATAATGGATATCAGGTAATAACTATCCGTCTCCACCACAGTTGATGTTTTTTGGAGAAGTTTCATTGTGAAAGGGAAATGATACATGAGAGATAACTGAATGGAAAATGGAGGAGATGAGAAGGCTTTTTCGTTTTTCAGCATCAGAGAAATGTGAGCAAGCTTGAATACTGAGATTGAGCTATCCACGGAGAGTTGAAAGTTAAGGACAGTGAACACAGTTGAGAGATCTTTGCTTGGAAATTATGAAAGCACATCCAGACGCAAATATAAACTTACATGTATTTGGCAGGAATTTGAGTGAATTTATATTAAGAGGTAAAAATCAGCTGCTAAGAATGGCAAAAGGAGCTCAGGTATTTTTTCTCTGGCAGACTGCCCAAATATTTCGATTTAGCTAATACATAAAATTTCAGCCATGAATAAAAGTAGATTATAACCTAATTTTATGTAATAGCCTACTTCCAAACCTATCAGTATTCCTCTTCAAAGCTTCTAACTCGTAGGCTGTCTTTTTCACATGCATTCCCACCTATCCCATTGCCTCACATTTTAATTTCGGTAAATTTCAGATATCATATATTTTGTTATAACTCTATAATTTAAAGACTAGTTTGCAGAACATAATCTTATGCTATTTTCACACATTAAAATAATTATTTTATATCATCAAATATCCACTTGAGGCTCAAATTTTCCTTATCTCACATATTATATCATTTTCTACAGTTTATCGGATCAGGATCAACTAAGCTCTACCCATTGAGATGAGTGATGTGTCCTGACATTTTTAGTTTATAAGTTTGCTTATCTCACATGTTTTTCTATTGCAATCTATTGCTTAAAGAAATTCAGTCAATCCTG